ACAGGTAGTCCTCATCTTATGCCCATTGTGGTGGTAATGCCCATCACATGACCAGAGCCATTTTTTATGACCTTTTTTGCAGCGCTTGTTTAAGTGAACCTATTTTTTATCACCTGGTTTTGCAGAAAATGAGAGGAAAATGCCTATTTTTGGCAAAGTGTCATTAAAACATGGTGCAGGACTGCAGGACGCTAAATGTGGGCCACTTGCCAAGGGCCCCAAATGTGGTCACAAGACTGGTGGTTTGATCACCATACCTTTGGAAGCAGGTCCTAATTACCCCCCAGGTATGAAACTAAGCGACTGGCCATAATTTGAGCGCTATCTGTAAATCCAGGTAATATGATGGCCCATTCCAGATTTAAAGACTTTGTCGTGGAAGAACTCTGCCAGTTTGAAAACAGCTCCAGACCAGTATGGTCCCACATCACCTGATCAGCAGCAGAACTGATTTATTTTTGACTTGGCAACATTCTCATTCATAATGAGCCTCTGTGGCGCAGTGGTTAGAGTGTGCAGTGCTGCAAGCTACTTCTACAGACAGCTGCCTGCAATTTGGCAGTTCAAATCACACCAGGCTCAAGGTTGACTCAGCCTTCCCTCCTTCCGAGGTGGGTAAAATGAGGACCCAGATTGTTTGGGGCCATGTGCTGACTCTGTAAACTGCTTAGAGAGGGCTGTAAAGCACTATAAAGCGGTATGTATATCAGTCTAAGTGCTATTGCTGTTCTACTTGAAACCACAGAAATGCTATTGTTTATGGAAGTACTGTGACTTAGTGTCATGCCCCTGGTGGAGAAGGACTCTGCGGGAGAGGAGGAACAGCCAACAGGGAGTGGGAGTGTGGGCTCCAGAGGTTGTGGAGGAGGCTGGGGAAGGGCAGAGGCCAGCTGGGCAGTCAGAGGAGGACCCAGGCCCATCCCCTCTCCATCCTAGGGCACGCAGGGAGGAGAGGATCAGGGAAAAGCGAGGTCTACTCAGGAGGAGATTATCATGATCCTCCTCGTGGCTTGCAGCTGGGAGCTATGTATATAAGTTTGTAACTGCGCAGTCAGGATTGCTGGAGTCAAAGTTCAGTGTTTTGTTTGAAAGAGGTGTATCTTTGTTGGTGTTCTTCCCAAGGAGTCTCCACGTTATTTTTCCTGGAATGTATGATTAATTATCTTGGTTTGCTTCGGAACTCACATCAATGCAGTTTGTTTTGGTTTCTTTTTGCGTCATTATTTACTTTTGTGACTTTAAACTATGCCTAATAAAACAGTGAAGTTAAGTTGAAGGCATTGCCGGACTTTAATGTACGTTTTGGGTTATTTTGAGAGACTACGGGTCATCACGTTTAGTGAACTCGGTGGTGGATTTCCCCATTAGGAGGAGCTCTTGCCTCACCCTTTCTCTGCTCCTGGTACTGGCAGGACAGAGTTGGTTTGGTTTCACAGGTCCCCCGCCCTAGGATCCCTTTGGATTTTTGGCCCTTGACCCAAAGGTATGCCTGTGTGTGTATTAATTGATTTTATTTTATTTTCCCTTTCATGGCCTCGGAGATTTTGTTGCTGCAGGAGCAGTATGTTGATTTTTCTTCTCCTTGTTCTGAATGTTGTGAAGCCAATAGCAGTGAGGAGGGTCACAGGTGGCTTTTGATTGCCTCTTGAAAGATTAGGGCAATGTTTCTCAAATTTGGCACCTTTAAGATATGTGGACTTCAACTCCCACAATTGATGGCTGGCTGGGGAGTTCTGGGAGCTGAAGTGCACACAACTTGGAAGTTATCAAGTTTGAAAAATGCTGAATTAGGATATGACAGTGGCCCCCCACAGTTAGGCCACCCACCTATCCCTGGCACAGAGGGCTTTGTTTAACTTACTTTGCACTCTTTTATAGGTAATCATCAACTTATGGCCATTCGTTTAACAGCCATTCAAAGTCACAACAACAAATGAGAAAAATTGCTTATAAACAGTCCTTGCACTTATGATTGGTCCTTGCAGCGTCCCTACTGTCATATGAATGCCACTTTGAAGCTTCCCAGGGGCTTTCTGACAAGCAAGTCAATGGGGGAAAGACAAATTTGCTTAATGACCACACAATTTGTTTATTTATTTGGTTTGTCAATTGCTTACAAGATAATAGGTATAAGTAAAAACATAATCATGAATACATATAAGAAAAATAAAAGAAACAATAGGACAGGGACGGAAGGCACGTTGGTGCGCTTATATATGCCCCCTACAGACCTCTTAGGAAAGGGGTGAGGTCAATAGTAGACAGTCTGAGGTTAAAGTTTTTGGGGTTTGGGGAAGAAACTACAGAGTCGGGTAGAGTATTCCAGACATTGACCTCTCTGTTGCTGAAGTCGTATTTCCTGCAATCAAGTTTGGTGCGATTAACCTTGAGTTTGTATCTATTGTTTGCTCTTGTGTTGTTATGGTTGAAGCTGAAGTATTCATTGACAGGTAGGACATTGCAATGTATGATTTTATATACTATACTTAGATCGGACCGAAGGCAGCGTAGATCATTTGCATGATGATCACTGCAAAAAAGATTGTAAAATCCAATGCGGCTTATTTAATGAGTACATCACCCAGCGACAAAAATTCCAGTCCCAATTGTAGCTGTAAATTGAGGACAACCTGTCCCCTCACCCACTCAGAAGTACATCGCTAACCCAGTTCTCCAACTGAAAGACTCTTGAGAGCTGTGGACTTCTTCCAGGATTTTCAGCAACGGCCGTATTGGCTGGGGAATTTGGATGTTGGGCTCCATGGTCTAGAACTGTGATGGCGAATCTATGGCATGTGTGCCGGAAGTGGCACACAGAGCCATTTTTCCTGGCACACAAGCTGTCGTCCGGAACAGATCCACTGTGCGTTTGCCTCCTGCCAGCCAGCTGATTGTCGGGTATCTGCAGCGCACAGGAGGCACATGCGCGGGGGGCAAGGCATGCGTGGGAGATGCATGCGCGGGGGTTGTGTGCATGTGCGCAGAGGCATGTGCGTGGGGGTCATGCACATTGCATTATGGGTGCAGGTACGCACACACTTTCGGCACGCAACGATGAAAAGGTTAGCCACCATTGGTCTAGAAGCTTTAAAAATACTCTGTGTTTCATTTAGACCAGGAGTGTCAAACTGGTTTTCTTCAAGAATTGGATCAACATTGGAGTTCTCCTTTGCGGGCTGGTCGGGGAAGAGGGCGTGGGAGACAGAACGGACGCCTCCTGCAGCACCCTGCCCCCCACGCCCCATTTTGGTCGGCAGAGTGCTGCAGGAGACCATCCAGGCCGAAAATGGGCGCTGTGTGGGCCGCACATGCCTCTCCCCGCACCCCGTTTTGGCTGTTGGAGGCACCACAGGTATGGCTATTTCCAGGCTGGCTCCATGGGCCAGTTTTAAGCACCCCACGGGCTGGATCCGGCCCACAGGCCTTAGAGTTTGACACCCCTGCTTTGGACTTTCTTTTTTGGTGTGGAGTGAGGTTTCCTCATAAAGTGAGGCAGGATTCGACCTGCTTAGTATTTTGACGGAGATCCAAGGTTTATAGGTTCTAGTGGGGAGGTCAAAAGAGATTCCTTGAGAGAAACGTTGGCAAATGACTTCTGTGGTTGCAAAGAAAACAACATGGAGGTTTCCATGAAATTCAGTAGGAGCTGAATCCAGCTTAAGGGATTCTTTATGTGTTTACAGCTGCAAGGGGAGGTTGACGCATAAGGTCACTGCTTATTATTGACAAAGTCATATTATATGGAAGTGTTGTGTTTTGGGGTCCACCCCAATCCTCTTGCCAAATTCCGATATTCCAGGTGTAGTACTGTACTTTTCTGAAACAACTGTGTGTTCCCTGAGGCTGCTGAGGAAGCCTTTGTTCCCCTGGCTTTCTGTAAAAGATGGCTGGGACAACTTGGAGCAGTATTTGGTAGTTGAATTCTGACCCTTAGCTGAAAAAGGCTGAGCCAGCAGGGTCTCAACATGCTTTAAGGGGGCCTGATTGACACTTCGGGCGACAACATCAGTTCTGTCCGATTCATTGAATAAAGCAAGATTCACAACAACATGGAAAACGAAACAGCTAATTGCATTACAATTTATGTTTATTGATTTGAATAACACAAACATTTTGAGGAACTGCTTGGGGATTCAGCAGGCTGCTTCTGCTTTTTGTTGCTGGGAGATGTTTTGGAATTACCTGCTGCCCTGGTGGAAATTTTATTTTTATTGAATTGTGCAAGTTTGGGGCATGGTTAAAAAGATTTTTACTTGTACCGGATTCTACACAACAAAACGTTGAGTTGATTCAGAACACCTGCTGCTACTATGCAATCAATGTCTCTGCAAAATGTGATGGCACCTCTGCCGTGAACCAAGGGCGTGTGTATGCGGGCCATCAGAATTCCTCTGCTCTGCGGTTTTCCTTTTGAAAGATCCTTTGGGGGAACTAGCCTACCCCCCATTTTCATCCCACTTGCTGTGGAATTCAGAAGAGTTGAGAAGCTGCCCTGCTGACTACTTACCCTCAAGGACAGCGTTTTTCAATCTTGTCAGCTTTAAGATGTGTGGACCTCGGCTCCTAGAATTCTCCTGCCTTGGCTGGGTTATTCTGGGAGCTGAAGTCCACACTTCATAAAGCTGACAAGGTTGAAAAACACTGCTCAAGGAAATAGCACTTTCTCAGTCTGGTCATCAGAAATCTATTTAACTGAGGACTGAAGCTGTACTTGTACACAGAGCAGTTCTTGCTTTGATGGTGTTACCTAGTTAGGTTATGAAATGTCTGCAAGAAAAGAGCTAAGTTTAGAGAGCACCAAGGGTTCCACAGTTCAACCCTGAACTATTCTCTTCTACTGGAACAGATGTTTTAACTCAAAACTCCTGTGTTCCTCTGTCTGGCCCCTCCCTTTGTGATGCTGATGTCCACTCTCAAATACCTTTCTAACATTTCGTTAGGTTCACATGCAGTGATGATGATGATGTCCTCCCCTTCACCCCTCTTTTATTTGCCTCTTAGGGGACATCGGAAACTATTACTATGGTCAAGGTCACCCCATGAAGCCTCACAGGATCAGGATGACTCACAACCTTCTTCTCAACTATGGTCTTTACAGAAAAATGGAAATCTATGTAAGTTTTTTTAAAACTGAACATTGAACTCTTCACCTTGACTGGGTCTTGTGGCTCAGGAAGAAGGAGAGCTACTACAAGGGAGCCCCCCCACGCCCCCAACCAGTCACCCCACCTGGTCCAGAGGATACTTCGTTCAAGAGCATCCAGGGGCCTTGACACATTTAGTATGAGAGGAAAGTTGCAGCACCCTCCTCCTGGAGGCAGTGATCAAGAAGGACCAGTGGATCCTAGGGCTAAGCTCTGACTGGAAGTGGTCCCAGTTGTCTCTTTATTTGAGGCTTTTTGTGGCTGTTCGTGTGCCCCTTTTCAAGAACCTCAATAAAGTCAGAGCTGTGCTTGAACAGTGTTCAGAGGTGATGGCCTTGCCAAGTTGTCCTCCTCTCTTCTCTGTCATTTCAGCGACCTTACAAAGCAAGTGCCGAGGAGATGACCAAATACCACAGTGATGATTACATCAAATTTCTGCGCTCCATTCGCCCAGATAACATGTCTGAATACAGCAAGCAGATGCAGCGATGTGAGTGAAAGGGTTAACATTTGCTTGGAAATCCTCAGACATGCTTGGCTAAAAACGGCCCCCTTGGTGGGTTTTTAAGTGGGGGGGGGAGGGTTAATGCGTGGACCAGGCTTATAGCAGCAAGGATGCATGATATCACCCCTGTAAAATCCACTTGCAATACCTTATCCATCAGCCCTTAAATGAGGCTTTTGATCCCAGTTGGGAAAAGCCTGGCTTGGCATAGAATGTGTGGTTGCTTTCAGGTGGGATGGCAAACTATGGCTTTTCACTCCGACTAGCCCAACAAACCCTTGGTGTGGCTGGGACTTGTCACCACTTTGTGGATGAGAAGAGAAAATTAGCAATCCCCTTGTTTTCAATACCTTTGCCATTCCTTCAGAAGGTAACTTGTTTAATATCCACTGTTTGTGTGCCAGGAAAAGTTTGGTCAGTCGTGCAAAAAACAGGTTTAGGCTTAACAAGGAATAGCTCTTTCTTGTAACCTTTTGTTGCTTGAATTGAGTTAAAGCTTGATAAATGTATTTCTCAACCACAGCAACTTTAACCTGCGTGGACTTCAGCTCCCAGAATTTCCCCAGCCAGCACGTTGGACTACCCTGCTACCCTGGGATTTCCTAGTGGCCTCCTGTCCAAGTACTAACCATCTTGAACCCAGAGCTTTGAAGCTCCAGTGTGGCGTTCTGCAAAGCCCTTAAAGCTCTCAGTTCACTAGAGCTCCAGCAGGTAGCGCCAACCCCTCACATTGTTAAATGCCAATGGACAGCTTGAACAAATCTGACATCACACTTTCATTAATGAGCAGCTTGTGTGTCGTCTCCCCCCCCCCCCAAGAAAGATATTTCAATGCAGTTGCTCAGTTTTTGCCTCCTGTTCCTAGATCACTTGAACTCCAGTATACAGATACAGCTTTATCGCACATGGTTCACAAATTATATATTTATTTATCAAATTTAGAGACTGTAGCGACTCTGGATGATGTATAGTTAAATCTCTCCTTCCTTGTCCTCCTTAAAACAGTTTTCCTAACGCATTCCCAGATAAATCTCTGTTGCTCTGGGTTGTTTCAAATTCTGATTTCTCTTTTTGGCTGAAATCATTGGTGTGTTGTGATTAAGCAAGGGCTTCTGTTCCTTTCTTTTTCAAGTCAATGTTGGAGAAGATTGCCCTGTGTTTGATGGACTGTTTGAGTTCTGCCAACTTTCGGCTGGGGGCTCTGTTGGTAAGTAGCAATCACAGTTTTAAAAATAAAAACCTTAAAAAGATGTACTAACTGCGCTTCTGCTGAGGACTTCACTTTCATTATGGAATTGTAGGCTGTGTGTTCTGACATCTGATTCCTTGCTCCTTTCAGGTCAGGAATGATGTGCAAATTTGCTCTGAATTTAAAATGTCCCTTTGAATGCAAACTATTTCAGACACTTTTGAAAAACACCAGGAGGAGACTGATACAAGTTCCCCTCAACTTAGAACCACAATTGGGACTAGAATTTCTGTTGCTGAGCACGTTGGTCATTAAGTGAGTCATGCCCAATTTTATTGCCTTTTTTGCCATAGTTAAGCAAATCTCTGCTGCTAAATGAATCACGTGGTTATTAAGCAAATCTGTTCTTCCCTATTGGCTTTGCTTGTGGGAAGCTGGCTGGAAAGGTTGTAAGTGGTGATCAGATGATCTTGAGATGCTAAACCATCATCAATACATGCCTGTTGCCAAGCCCCCAAACTTTGATCATGTGATCGTGAGGATGGTGCGAGGACCTGTCATAAATTACTTTTTTCAGTGTCCTTGTAACTTAAACAATTGACTGATAAGTCAAAGGATTGTCTGTTGTCCTCTCGGCTCACAAAAGCTTATGCCTTTTAAGAAATTTTGTTGTTTGGAAAGGAGGCTACCAGAATCCTCATTTTATTTTTTACTCTCCCATTAAGCATTTTGCTAAAGCAGCTGTTTTGAACTTGAGACGTTCTGTTCCATACTCAGATCACTTTCAAAATGCTCAAAACAGCTGTTTCCACACAGAAATGAAGAGTGTTGGATTCAAAATAACTCACATCAAAATGTTTTGAACATTCCACATGATAAGTTCACGGATGAATGTTTCTAGAGAGTGTTTTCTTTCATGCTTCCATGAATAGTCATCTCAGAATAGTATTTGTACAGATCTGGATAAATATTTAGAGATTTATGGATCCCTGAATCCAGAGCAAATTCCCTTGGTGTCTGCCAGCTTCTCTGCCTTTCCTGATTTTGATCTTTTTAGATTATTTTAATTTAACAATAGTCTGGAAAATAATAGCAAGTGAGAGCATGAAGTATAATGACGTCCTCTGGTATCATTGTAATTTGCAAAAAACACCTGTGATCCACATACTTTTTCTCTGAGCAGACTTCAAAATTAAAAATGGCTGGTGGTAGCTGCTAGTCTCTGAAAGTATGTCCACCTGCTAAGAAACAAAATAAACTTGCATCACTTAAGGGCAATAAAGACCTTACTGGCTGGTTAAAGAAGGGAGGAGCAAAGTGTGTTTTGCCCATAGGTCTCCTTGGTATCCATTTTGTGAGAGCACCCACAGCTGTTCTCAAGTTGCATACTTGCCCATCTGTCCAGAAGAGTTGCCCACTTTTGGTTTTGAACCAGATGCTAACTGATTCTCAGAACAGGAAAGATGGGTCTCTTTTTACATTTTGTTGTTGCTCGGTCGCTGTTGCTCTGTCTGACTCTTTGTGACCCCATGGACTACAGCCAGCCAGCGCCCCACCCCCACCTCGTCTCCTGGAATCTGCCCAAACTCATGACTACGGCGTCGATGACCCTGTATAGCCATCCCATCCTCTGCACTACCCATTCCTTGTATAATGTCTTATGTTTCATGAACGTGAATTATATGTGATGGCCTGAAGTGGGGAAGGTTGTGTGGGATGTCCCCCCCCCCATATTGAATTAAATTGAATTCTTTATTGTCATTGTACGTATATTCACAGTACACATACAACGAAATTCACATGACACCCAGAGACCAGACTCAACATGCACACACACATGACAATCCCCAAACACACCCCACCCGCCAAAATTTCCCGCCCCCTAAAAACACACAAGCATCCACACAACAGACCAAGTAATACAGTCCAACAGCTCACTGATGGTGGTCCTTAAGTTCATTTTAAGTGCAGTTATAGCTCTGGGATGCAAACAGTTCAGAAAATGTGTGGTCCGAGTTTTAATTGTTCTGTATCTTCTGCCAGAAGGTAACAGTTTACAAAGATTGTAGGCAGGATGGGAAGAGTCTCGAGAATGTTGTGCGACTTCCTCAAGCAACGAGATGCGAAGATGTCGTCCAGGGCTAGTAGCTGGAGCCCAATGATATTCTGGGAAGTTTTAATGATTCTCTGTAGAGCTTTTTTGTCCGCTCCAGAGCTGCTCCCATACCATGCAAGAATGCCGTATGTCAGGACACTCTCAATGTTGCTGTGGTAGTAGGACATAAGTGGATGCTGAGATAGATTTATCTTCCTAAGCATTCTCACGAAGTACAGCCTCTTCTTTTGTGCCTTCTTCACAAGCATGTTAGCATTCATAGTCCATGAGAGGTCCTCCGAGATAGAAGTGCCCAGAAATTTAAAACTACCAACCTGCTCCACCTTCTCGCCATTGATGTACAATGGTAAATGTACATCTCTCTTCCTCCTGAACTCAATTTTAAGTTCTTTAGTTTTTTTGGTGTTAAGTGTAAGATTATCCCTTGACCTTGCCTTGATGCATAACAAGGCTTGACCAGGAGTGCTCCTTATGTCTGCTTAGAAGGAAGGAAAAGCCTTGGCATTGGGAATCTTGTTTAATCAAGTCTGTATTTCTCTGTTAGAACTTGTTACTGCAAAAAAAATCAGGGTTTAGAGGGGATTGTGACCAACAAGGGTGGTCTTGGCTCGGTAGCACACTTTGAGAACATGTGAGCTGAGGAGGCTGACTCAGGAGGGTAGAGTTCATGTGCCGTTTAGATGGGTGCATGATTCTCAAATAAACGGGTGTAAAGGGGTTATAGTTCCAGGCTTTATAATTTGCACATCTGTTTTGGAGAGTAGCATTTTGTCATCAATTAGGTAGTTATGACAGTTGCCACCCCTGCACAACACTTGAAAATAAGTGGTTGAAATCTTGGAGCCAAGTAACACAGGACGGCAGGTATTGAGAGAATGTCCGTTCTTACTCACTGAAACCTAACATTATCCATCTGACTGCAGAAGCAGAGGGAGTCACTCTGTGCGACCCACATTCTGGGTCCTTGTAAGTGGATACAGTCAGTCCTTTATGACTAGATGCTTAATGACGGTTTGAAGTTACAATAAACCCGCAAAAAGGGATGACGGGAGCTTGGAGTTCTGATGGCTAACCTTCCTGCCATGGTCACATGATTTTGTGGGTGCTCAGCAACCAGCTTGCATTTACAACTGATCATGATACAACATTTCCCCCCCTGAAACTGGGGTTTACTTCTAGTTTCCAGAAAAAAAATATTGTAACGAGTCAGCTGCTTACTTAATGGCTGCTGCAAAAAAATATCATAAAATCAGGCATAGTCACATGATGACTCACTTAATGACCAGCATGTCTTACAATTGTATTCTGGGCTCAGTTACGATTCTAACTCAAGGAGTATGGTTTCTGTTGGTTGTCAATTCTGGGTATCTTGTCTGCAGATTGCCCTCCTGGTATCTGTCAGGCTACAGAACTTTTCCCATTCACTCAACTAGAATGAACTTCTGGAAACGTATCCAAACGTATCACAGAGGAATCCTTTATTGAGATGAGACAATTCATGTAGGAGTTCAAAGCAGCGCCTGAGGTCTCTCAGGCATACAGGGATAGATAAGGGAGTTTAGAACCCCTCCCCTTATCTCGATGTGTATTTAGTGAAACAAAAGCCAGTATGTTAATTCCTCCCCACCCCTCTTCTTAGAACAAACTATTCAAGAGATTCCCAAAGTACAATCTCACTGTGGAGTTTTTATGACCTTCTCATCTCTTGGTTGTGCCTCTCAGAGGTGATAGTTCTGGCCACCTGGCTTTTCTCCCTCCATCGTATCATGTGTGGGTTATACAAATTTGATATAAGATTAAATATATTCAGGTTACATCAAGAAAGGATTTCTTTATCAGCCTTCCCCTCCCCCCGCCCCCTTTTCTTCTTCCACCGAAGAAATGACAGATACACGGATCTGATAGTATCTCTAAATGGTACCGATAGAGGAGAATATTTGTAGCGTGGAGGGTGCTCTTTTGATGGTTTTCTTACAGACCAGACTAGAAAACATCAACAGTACACCCTGAATGAGTCTGGTTGTGACGGCTGCTTTGTCATCTGTGCTCTCTCACTGGTTTGAAATTCTCTCCCCAGCAAGCGCAGTGAAACTAAACAAGCAGCAGACTGACATCGCGGTGAACTGGGCTGGAGGCTTACATCATGCCAAGAAGTCAGAGGCTTCTGGCTTCTGCTACGTCAATGATATCGTCCTGGCTATCTTGGAATTGCTGAAGTATGTGGGAACTGCCACTTTATATGCTGGACCTAAATGAGAGCCTCCCCAAGATTTCTCAATTGTGGCCACTTTAGTATGTGTGAACTTTGACTCCCACAATTCCCCAGCCAAGCATGCAGGCTGGGAAATTTTGGCAGTTGAAGTCCACACAGTGGCCAAGGTTGAGAGTCAGTGCTTTATACTGTGGATCTAAATGAAATCCTCACCTTGTCAAAAAATATGATATTCATCCTGTTGCAGGATAAGCTGCTCGGATAGGGAGATCTCTGAGAGGTGTGACAGCTTTGCTCTTGTTTTCACCCTCATGAAAGGAATTTATGTATGTGTGAGACAGACGGGGGAGGCACAGATTTGAATAGGGCAGTCCAAGAAGCCTTACTTGGTCTGATAATGGCTTTCAGTGGGCATTTAGAGGAATCCCTGGAGTTCTAGAGAATCTGAGCCCAACATGAAACCGAGTCTTGATGGTTAGGGAAGCAGTTTTGCTTTCCGCTCCTTCTGATGGCCAAAAGGGGCGGCTCCCAATTGTGTTTCAAGAAGGCATCTTCTTAAAAACACCCAACAGCCTGGGTGTGGATTTGGAACCGAGATCCTTGGCAGCTTACTCAGCTTCCCTAAGAGGCGGATTGATGACCATAATTATTTCTGGAAATGAAGGAAGAGGAAACCTCTTCCCCCCCCCCCCCAATGTAGGATTCAAACACACAACGGATTCAGCACCCTGGCTGTGTTATTTTCAGCACTTAAGGGTGCCCTGAGGCCTCTGGCAGCTGTTTCCACCTTTCCTGGCCCCTCAGTATTCTCTGAGGATGACCCGTTTGAAGCCTCACTAGGCTGTCAATCACACAAGCTTGCTTGCTTCTCAACAAAGCCTATTGTGGCTTTGGGGCCTGAATTTTAAAACTTGCTAATTGTCAGTATACTTGTTTGGGGGGGGGGGGGATGGCTGAACTTTGTCTTTCAGGTGCCAGCCTGATACCCCTTTGCAACCTCAGGTACCACCAGAGAGTGCTGTATGTTGACATCGACATCCACCATGGCGATGGCGTGGAGGAAGCCTTCTACACCACAGACCGTGTCATGACAGCGTCCTTCCATAAGTATGGGGAATATTTCCCAGGAACTGGGGATCTGCGGGTGAGAATGAGAACTTGAGATGCATCTTCCTGGGCATCCAGTCCCTCTTCCTTCTCTTTGGTTGGCTTTCACATTTTTTCCAGACTCTGCTAGTACAGTTACTACACAGTTTTGCCTGATCCCCTCTCCTTGTAAAACAAGGGTCTTCAAACATGGCAAGTTTAAGACTTGTGGACTTCAACTCCCAGAATTCCTGAGCTATCATGACTAGAGGACGAATTCTCGGAGTTGAAGTCCACAAGTCTTAAAGCTGTCAAGTTTGAAGACCCCTGTTCTAAAACAAGATGATTCACGTTTCCTGGGTCAGAGGTCCTAACATATCAATTCCCAGATTGAAAAGTTTAATGCAATATAAATTGTGTCACAATGTTAGTGAATGTGGGAGAGAGAGAAATCTCATTAGTGTTATTGACTGTTCCTATAACTGAAATAAACTCCGATGATAATATCTGGCTGATGTTGTTTCAACTCAAAAGCTAGGTCAATTAGACCCTCAAAGCCCAGATCTGTGGTCTAGATTGAAGGACATCCCAGAAAATGTCCCAAAATTACATGTTCTCCGTTAATTCTTAGGAGTCGACTGACTTGAAAAGGACAACACCTTGATTAAAGAACTTATCTTTTAATTTCCTTCTCTTTTGTATGCTAGGGAAAGGTAGGGCATGGCCTTTGGCCTGGAAAAAACAGTGTATGCCTCCAGGAGCGTGCAAAATGTTTTCAGTTTAAAATGCATATTATTCTATGACTGCCCTTCTGAGCCAAGTGACTCTGGGCAGGTTACAATTCTAAAACAATAAAACACTTAACGGAAATATAGCCTTGTTGAGTTTGAAACAAATTGGACATTTCTGGGAGAATTGAGGTGCTGTTTTGAGCTTGAAACAATTCAAATGTGAAACTTTCTTAACACTATTCCATTCCTCTTGCTGTCTAATTATTGATTATTAGATTCAAGGTCACTTCTTTAAAGATGGACTCTGATCTGGGTCTCCCTTAGGGATAGTCCGACACCTTAACCCAGTGTTTCTCAAACTTGGTAATTTTAAGATGTGTGGACTTCAACTCCCAAAATTCCTCAGCCAGCATGTGGTGTTAAAGTTCACACATCTTAAAGTTGGCTGGGAAAGGTAGAAGAAACATGGTCTTAACTGCCCCATCAAACGGGCTCTCCTTTCCATGGAAAACTAACTTGCCTATGAAACACATTGTTTTGGCTTAAGAAATCGAGGGAATCAAGGCCACATCCTACAAGCATAATGTGAATTGGAGAACAATCAGGGAACATTTGGGCAGCATTTGGCAAAATCTTGTTGGGGAAGAAGAGAAATAGTTACCCACATGTTGCTCTTTGCCCTTCCTCACTCATCTTCTGGGATCGGATGAGCTGGTTGACATATTTGTGAATCTGGCTTATTTTAGATTTTTGATTCAGCACCAGCTCACATCCTCCCTCCCCCCACACCTCCTCCTGGGCAGGACAAGATGGGTGATTCTCCTGTTTTTGGGGTGGTGACATTGGGAAAGCTCTAAAGTCACAAAGGTGCTTTTTCAAGAGGCAACTGGACTTTCTGATCTTTCTTTGAAGATGTTTAACTTCTTGGATGAGAAATAAGACATCTTTAAAAAAAGAAAAAAACCAGAAAGTCCAGTTGTCTTTTGAAAAAGCACTTTTGGGATAACCATGACCTGGATGACTGAGAATCTCCCATAGACGCTTGGCCCAAAGGGAGTCAAGGAAGCTTGTGGACAGTCCTTGGGGATGTTCTGGTGTGACATGATAACGGTGTGCCATTGTTGGGCTCCAGGCCTCTGCAAGCATCAGAATGCCAGCAGTCCCTGACTTGGGCATCCTCTGAAGGTGGCCTCAACTGGTATTTCAGATATCATCTTTTCTTCTTCCTAAGGATATTGGTGCGGGTAAAGGAAAATATTATGCTGTCAACTATCCTCTCCGGGATGGGATCGATGATGAATCTTATGAAGCCATTTTCAAGCCGGTAAATATCTTCGTCTTTGAATGCTTCCAATTCATTTTGCAGGTGGCGCAGTTGCCTCGCTAAGCTTTGCAGGCTTGCAGATTGTGGAGAAAGTAGCAATGGTGATCGGAGGATCTTTGATGTCCTTTCCAACCTAGAGGAGCAGGGGGGCGGGTGGGAGGGAGAACACGAGCTTTCAGGGATGAAGAGCAAGTTTCAGACTACTTGTTTAGCGCCGACAAGCCCTCTGCTTCAGATCCTGTTGGTGGGAGGAGATGGGAGGCTTGTCCCTGATCTGCATGGAAGCATAACGTGAGATTGGAGCTCTGGGTGGCTTTGTTGAGGGCATTGGGCTGGCTTTCCCATCTTTGCCAGAGGAAAGGGTTCCTGGTGATGACTTTTCCACATTGCTGCCATTCTCAGATGTTTGTTTCTACTGGCCAGGTGATGTCTAAAGTGATGGAGACATTCCAGCCAAGTGCCGTTGCACTGCAGTGTGGCTCGGATTCCTTATCAGGGGACAGGTTGGGTTGTTTTAATCTGACCATTAAAGGTAAGAGGCGTTTCTTGGAAGGGGGTGGATGTTTTGCTGATCAAAATCAGCCGCGTGTACTCTGAGGGGGACTCTCAGTGTTTTTCAGGATTCCAGGGGCATCTTTAAAGGTTGGACATTTGTGTCTTGTGGCACAATGAGAATCAAGGTTTCTCTTTAACACAAAGGGCTCTGAAATGCATCCCTTCCCATTGTTTCATGGCTCACTTGGGTTGTTTCGCTCCATCATTTTGCTGATTTGTTGCTAAACGGGAGCTCACTTCCATCACATTGATATTCTTCCTTCCCCCAGGTCATGCCAAGTGTGTGGAGTTCATCAAAAGCTTTAATTTACCCATGCTAATGCTGGGAGGTGGTGGCTACACAATCCGTAATGTGGCCCGGTGTTGGACGTATGAGACGGCTGTGGCATTGAACACGGAGATCCCCAATGGTATGGAAGACCCTTGTTTAGTCCCCTAAGGGAACTCTGGTACTACTTAAGAAATGCATAGTAATTGCCAGTGGACATTGTTTTAGGTTTATTTGTTAATTTTACAGGAGCCAAAGTGCATCTTGTGTAATCCCCAGTTTTCTGGCAGCCTTCTGCTTTGATTGAGCTGGGTGTCATGCCTTATTGGAATCTGATTCCGAGGTGGAACGGCTGACAGGGAGTAGAAGTGTGGCTCTGGTGGCTGTGGAGGAAACTGGGAAAGGGCAAAGTCCGGCTGGGCATTCAGAAAAAGACCCAGTTCATCCTAGGGCACGCAGGGAGGAACGGATAAGGGAGCAACGTGGGTTACGGGGGAGAAAAAGGCCCTGATTCCCTTCTTTAGCTGCAGCTGGGAAAACAGGATTTAAAAAGGGCGTTTGCACACAGCACCTTGCTGGAAGCAAAGTGTAAAGTATCTTTGTTTGTCAAGTCTTATCTGGGTTCCCAAGTCCTCCCAACTGTGTGTGTGTCATTATCTTTTGGAAGTCTGCAATTCCTTATCCTGCCCTGTCTCATTAATTGCTACAGCGTGGTTTGTGTTGGTTTTTATTTATAATCTAAATGTACTTTGGGTTTGGACTGAATTTCTTCCCTTTAAAAATTGTTCTTGGGAGAGTTTTTTCTCCAGCCAATGATAACTGGACATTGGGGGCCAAGTTGGAAGCATTAAAGGGACTTTACCTACTTTGTGACTTTGTTGCTTTTGTGCCACGCCCCTTTGGGTCATCACTCTGGGAAGGCGTGCCAGTCCCCACAGAAGCTTTCACAATCACGTGGTTATTTGATTCTGCACTTCCTTCAGCGTCATTTTGAGGACGTGGATGTCCCCATCGTGACTTTCCTCTGTGTCCCTTTGAATTGCCTCGATGCAGATTTAACACCCTAACCTCCTCCATGCCTTTGAACCTTTCCACAGAGCTTCCTTACAATGATTACTTTGAATACTTTGGCCCGGATTTCAAACTCCACATCAGCCCTTCCAACATGACCAACCAAAACACCAACGAATATCTGGAAAAGATAAAGTAAGTCCATGCATTTATTTTTGGGGGTGGGGGTTGGCTAGATTTCTGCTGAAGGGCTTCTGCTTGACTTTGATTGCTTGGTTGCAGGCAACGTCTCTTTGAGAACCTGAGGATGCTCCCCCACGCCCCTGGTGTGCAGATGCAGCCAATTCCAGAGGATGCTGTGCCGGAGGAGAGTGGCGATGAAGAGGAGGAGGATCCCGACAAACGGATTTCCAGTGAGTACCAAGCCCAGAGGAATTGCCAACAAGAGGATCCCTTTCTTTCAGCTGAGGGCTTTTAGGAAAATGCCTCTTGAATAAGTGCAATTAAACCCTTCCTCCCTCCCTTCCTCCCATGCTGTTCTATGTTGAAGGAACGCTCCTCAGATTCCTTGCTCTTGTACCATTGAGTCTTCATTTATCTTCCACAGCCTGCTTGATCCTCTTCAATCCCAGCTTAAGCAGTTCAACTGGGACAACATGCTCTTGAGCTCTGAACAATGTCCCAGTGGCCAAGTCTTTAATCTGACTTTAGGGCTGATCCTTTTGGACTGGATGGCCACATTTAATATGCTTGGCCATCATATACTGTTGTCTAGCTTGCAATCCGTGGGGATCATTCACTCTGTATTGGACTGGTTTCAATCTTGAATAGCATCCCACAGCTACACACAAGTTTGCTACACATCTATTGGCTGTCCATTGTGGTATTTCTGGGGATTCCCTCTTGTAGCAAGCATTTACAACAGAAAATCAATCTTGTTTTCTTTGTCCTTGATTATTCCTGATGCCGTGTTTCATGATCAGGACATTCGGTATCATCATTTTGCTGGTGATTGGTCTTTTATGGTCTTTGGTGACTGGAGAGGGCCCACCACAACACAGCGTCTTTTAGTGCTTCATCCTAGATGCCCTTCAAGGTCCATGTTCCATGCTTTAAGCGAACATGGATAAGATGAAGATTTGGGTTTGGGCCAATTGTTTTTTCTAGTTGTCTACAGTGCTTGTCCAGTATTTGCTTCCAAAGCTCCTTAATTGACCCAGTTTTGTCCACCTTTAGGTTTGATTGATGACTGATGTCCCCATTTCTCAATCTTACCACAAGGGTGGCTAAGTTTTATTTGATGAATACTAATAGGAACTGGCTGTTTCTGGGGGAGTGAACTGCAGTTTTATTGATTTGTGTCTCTGTTGTTTCATGCTTCAATTACGGAAATCATCTACTGGCTTGCAGTTCTGATTCCTCCTTTGCCCAAAGTGGTGCCAATGCCACACTTCCCTTGCACTTCCCTGACACCACCGGGCTTGATCCAGAGCCTAGATTTAATTGCAGGGGTGGAGTTTTAGCCCGCAGATTACAGTCTTCTATTCTGCCCCATTTTCCTCACCACTGTCCTGTTTGCTCCCTATGTTCCCTTAGCAGTTTTCTCTGCTGTTCTGGCTCCAGAACCAGCTTCCTCTTTCCCTCTGCCATTGTGTTAACTTAACTGTTTTTCAAAAAGACCTTTTTATTTGACTGGGAAGCTACTCTGGATTCTGTTTATCCCACCCTCTTCTTGTTAATGGTGGCAATTCCCAGGCTGGTACCTGTTTTAGTCTAATTACAGTGGCATATGTAGTCAAGATCCTGTAGGATTTTGCTTTAAATCAGTGTATAGGGGTTATGTTTGCATTAATTTTAGCTGTGAATAGTCGCTTCATTTGATTTATTGTTAGGGGATTATTTATCCTGGATAGAATTTTTGTGATTACTGAGTCATTTTGACTTACACTGCACCTTAGGAAAAGTGTGTAACCAATAAAAATAACAATAGTCATTTTTATTTTTTCAATTAATGTTTTAAAATGTTATCCCTTATAAAACACACAGTCTCTATGGATGGTTAGTATTATTACTGGTGTTATTATCCTGCCTTTTTATTTTTAACTAGCTATCTCATGGCAATGAACAAATCTGATACTTCTTCCTCCTTCTATTTGCCTCACAACCCACCACCCTGTAAGGTGTGTTGGGCTGAGAGAAAGGGACTGGCCAAGAGTCACGCAGTTGGCTTTCATGCCAAAGGCAGGGCTAGAACTCAGAGTGTCCTGGTGATTGGCCCAAAGTCACCCAGCCAGCTTTCATGCCTTTGGGAAGTGTAGGAATCTTCTGGTTTTTAGGCCTTCCTTACCATACTAAACTGACTCTTAGTTTAGGGTTTAAATTAGGGTTTTTAATCTCAGGGTCCTTGTGTGCTTTGTTGACTCCCATCTTTCCTTGTAGAAAAGTCCATTTTTGTCAATGCACTAATGGATAGATGTCTAATGACAAGACTTACTTCTTGAAGAATAATTAGAATAATTCTGGAATAATTAGAATAATTCTAGCCTTCCCCCTCCCTTGTATGAACCATAAAGCCACTGATGTCCTTTTCTGCTTCTCTTCCCCCACAGTCCGCTCTTCAGACAAGAGAATCGCCTGTGAGGAGGAATTCTCGGACTCGGAAGACGAAGGGGAAGGGGGTCGCAAAAACGTTGCCAATTTCAAAAAGGCTAAACGGCCAAAAACAGAAGAGGAGGAGGAGAAGGAGGATGAGGAGAAGAAAGGTAGCAGCTATTTATTTGTGGGGCAGAACTTTTCATCCTGCCCAATTGGTAGAATGTGCTTATTGCATGGGAGAAAAAAAACACCCAGAAATTAGTGGCAGAGCTGACCTCTGATCTCCCACCCAGTGAGAATTAGCCCTGTTTGGCCCTGGCAGGAATGCCATGCTGAGCACCAGCACCTGTTTTGGCCTCCTGGACTAAAACTGTGGGGTTGTACTATCTGAGTAGGTGAAGATTGTTTTGTTTTTAAGCAGTCACAAGTTCTCACCTCTATATTTGGACTTTGGGTTTGTATCCTATTAGGAGTACAAGTAATTTTTTTTTATTTTATGACCATAATGGAGGCTGCCCATACATCTGCCCCAAATAATACATTTATGAGAATGCTTGAAGGTACAAATCTCATTATGCAGTTTTCCACAAATTTATGTTACCATTTGAGGCAATGTGCACTATTTACTTGTTAGGTTAGAGTACTAATGTAAATCTCTTCAATCATCACTGTCTTTCCAGTTAGTCTTTGTATACCTCCTATGCCTGCATGAATTCCACAGCTTAAAGTGTTCACTTTCACAAGGAAAAAAAATACAGCATCAACTCGCCAAATTGTTCTCCTTCTGGCCTCAGTGTCCATAATAGCTTTAGAAAATGATCAGGGAGGATGGTCAATTTTGAGTGTGCATATTAAAGGATGCCTGCGTGTGTATGACTATCCTATAACCGAACTAAACAGGGTTATTATGTTCCTTCCAGCAGAAGTAAACGAGATAGAGAAGAAAAAAGAAGAACCAGCAGAGGCCAAAAGGTGAGAGACCCTGGAAGTGGGGAAGCAGTTGGGGGGGGGGGGGGGCCCCTCTGGAAATGTCATTCTGTAGCTTCTGGACCTGGTTCTTCCTTCTCTAAATGAAGCCCTTTTCACACGTGTATGAAAGTGCTTGCTTCCCTGTGGCCGTGCAAAAAAAAAAGAAGCTGGAGATTTGGGTGGATAACTTCTCTGGGCTGGTTTGGGCACTGCAAAAGACGATCCATTCCTGATATAAGCAAAGATGAAAAGTCTGCTCATTTAAGTTTAGAAATGAGAATTGGGTTTCCCCCCTGACGTTTCCTAAGCTAATGGGCCCCTAACAGACCCCTTCGTTTCTCCAACAGCATAAAGGAAGAGGTGAAATCCACCTAAGAAACGTTGGACAGCTGGGGAACATCATGCCTCCCTGGTTCTCTGATCCAGCACCCTGGTTCCCTCACTTTTTCCACAAGATTTGTATTTTATATGTTTCTGTTCATGATTTCTGTAAATCTATGGGGGACTTGAGATCTGGCTGCCCTTCTCTGGGTGAGCTGCCAGGAAGGCCTGAACCGGCTTATCCCAGGAAGTGCCGTTTACGAGATTCCTGCTTCTCACTTCCCCCCTTGCTTTTGCATTGGGGAGATTAATGTGTTTCCTTTTGGAAAGCAAACCCCAAACTTCCCTTTGCTTTGTCTTGGCTTATGTTTTTAAAGGATGACTCTCTTCTCGGAGAAGGTAATTTTTCAGGGGAAGCTGGTCATCCATTCTCCTTTTCTTTTACTAGTTTAATGAGGTATGGATACAGCCATAAAACTCTCCAGTTAATTGGGGTGGGATGTGGGGGAGGTGGAATCCAGAATTCCAAACTATCTTACCCATCTATTAAGTGTCTCTGAAAGGTTGATCCCTTCTGAGCAACCATGAATGTAAACCATGGTTTATTCCCCAACCCCATTTGACAAGTCCCCCCTACGGGTATCAGCTCTGGAGTTGCAGGGGAGGCTCTGATCTCATCCTGCTTGTAATAGGAAAAAAAAAAAAAAAGAATCAGGGGTCCTCCCTTTGGAGCCAGGAGCGGGTATAGATGTGTATGTTTGCATGATCCCCCTTTTTAAAATGGTCTTGGGGCTTTTGCTTATGAACAGGAGCCTCGAGGGGCCCTTAGAAAGGCATCTTCCTAAAACAAAGAAACCAGCCCAAGCCTGCTCCCAGGAGGCAGCAGTGGCTCCAAGCAGGTGAGGTGAGGTTTCCAGGAAACCAAGGAAGGAGGAGATAGAACAGAATGTCACTATTTGGGGTTGACCCCAGCAATGCTGCTAATTTTTCCATGTCGCTTTTTCAGGGGTGGAGGGGGAAAAAGATGGGTTTTTATTTTTTTAAGCCTTTTTTTTTAGTTGCTTGGATGCAAACGCCCTCCAGTTGTTCTTACTCTTTGATACTTGTATTTGTGAAATAAAAGATCATTGTATTTGTGTGTTCTGGGGGTGGGTGGGAAGGTTATATATATATATATATTAGTTTTATAAAAGAAAAGTTTTTATTTTCATTTTTGCAGGGAAAAAAAAATCTTTGTAATAAAATGGATCTGTTTTTCTGTTTTTAACAGTGAATTCTTGCAGGCAGGGATGTCCCAAAGTATGCTACCACCGGAGTAACCCATTTGAATATCTCCCATATTTCTTTTGCTCCATGCCATAAGGCATACTGCAGTGATGGTTAACCTTTTCAGCTTGGTGTGTCGAAAATCGGGAAAAAGTGTAGCCTTCCTCGGGTCATGTGTCACTTCAAGAAATATCAATAATTTGGTTTATGACGGACTGGGCTGGGGTGATCACACAGGGCTGTGAAACTCATCTCCCTGGTCTCAGGGCTGCAGGTGCAGGATGTGGGGATCGGAAGGCCACCTGACAGGGCTGTGAACCTCATGGATCTCCTTTCCTCCTGTAGCGTTCCTGAGGTAATGAAACTGACAAACCTCAGTTTATGGCGGTTAAAACTGGTTCTCTGCTGCAAAGATCGTGCGGCAGCGGTGACACCACGCCTCCACGCAACAAGCAGGGAGCAGGGATTGGAGCAGAGCACAGGCAGCCTCTAAATGTGCAGGTTTTCCCCACACCAACAGGCGTGTCAGTCAAAGTGCCTCGGCGTGTCACGAGTGACACGCGTGTCATAGGTTAGCCATCACTGGCATACTGCCTCATGGCATGGGCTCCCCTCCCTTTAGGGGAGAAAAGGATTACTGACAGCATATATGCTACATGCTTCTAGATACAAATGCTTAAAACAGCTGGGAGGTTCTGAGTTCTAGCATCAAACTTAGGGAATTGCAACAGGGCCTTCTCATGTGTGGCACATTCTGGAACAGCGGCTTGCATATGTTTCTTTGCACCTAAATTGGAGGGTTCTGCCCGACCACAGCCTCATGTGCAGAATGCCACTTAGCATTTCAACGCCTCCAACTTTCCCATGCACTGCCTGCCACACAGAAGCTCTTCAGCATTGTATATCGTCAGTTTTCCTTTGGGACATGGTTCTTTGGAAGGTGCTCAGAGCCAGGCATTTTCTGTTGCAAAATTGACCACATTGGGGAAGGGGAATTGATTGCACTGAGCTGAGCACTTGGGGGAAAACATAGGATGAATGGGCACCTGTTCTTTGCTTCCCTGGAAGAAACAAGATAATGGAGCACACTTGTCTGTGCTAGCGGAGCAGCCGAAACTGGACTAAAAAGGTGCGAAAGCATTATGGATCTGGGACCAGGTTGTGTTCCCACAAAGGCTGCGTCTTAGTAATCTCACATGCTCTCCTGCCGCTATGCTCAACACACCCCTTATGTATGTTTTTTTTAAAGTGCAGAGTATTCAGAACATTCAGGTGGTCAAGCGTGGCCAAGAAGATGAACTAGGAGCAGAGAACTCAGGTTCAAGTCAAGGTGCACCCTGGTGACTTGGTTTGATAGGAGACATAAAATGGGGTGGTGGTGGTGGGTGGGAGTAGAAATCCAATTCAAGATTCCAGTGTCTTCAGCTTCTGAGGAAAAGGTGGGATAGGAATTTGGCACTAAAGTCCCTGGTACTTATCACATTTGAAGCCAATTTTCAACTGGAAGTCCATTCAGATTGTCCAGCGTCTCTACTGGAAGGAACAAAAAGTGGTTTTTTTGTCTGTAGTTTCAACCCAACAACTGTTATCACAAAGCTGGTGCTTCTTCTCAACTTGCCTAAAGAGCAAAGCAGCTGGGAAGGATGAAAGGCACAGTCTTTCATCACCATTTTAGCACTTACATCACCATTTTACTTGAATCCCGGAAGGATTGGTGGCCTAATAAACAACTGTTTGCCAGCCATTGTCGCCTATTCTCTAAAGACCAGGAATTGTTTTGTTCAAGGACTGCATTGCAGCTGCTTCTCACACCAGGTAACTAAAGGCCAAAAGACTTCACCAAATTCACCCGTGTCCTATTTGGGCCCCAAATGTGCCATTGCTGGCACCAGCATGTGATAACTGTGAGCTGCAATGCTCAATTATAACAATTCAAAAAAGAACAGATCTTGGATGGGGCAAGTTATTTATTTAAAAAAACCAAGCCCCCACAACAAACTTCCTCTGATTTGTTGGTGGCTGCTAGGCTGGAAGAATTACCATGATTAGTCCTCCATAATCCCATGTACTCCTGAAGCATTGCACTACACCTCCCATCTCCCTGAATCAACACATGTTATAGCTTGTCCTATCATGCTTTCTAAGGACACACGGAGTGCTGATCAGCAAAATATTCTCTTCCCAGAAGTTGGAAGATTTGCAAGAATTGAGGCAAGTGGCCAATATATAAATAGGCAAATCTATGATGAAATACACAAGAACGGTTAGCCATTCCTGTCACCAAACAAGACCTGGCAAGCCAATTGGAATAGGTGCTGAGCTCGCCTTGTCAAAATATATTACTTTGATGCTGCTTGATAACCTACCTTGCTTTCTAGAATCTCCCCTAGCCTAGAAAGCTAATCTTCCAGCTCGGGGGGCTCCCCCTCCTTTGTACCAAAAACATCCTCTTCTCAGCCCCCATGACCTGTGCAGTGGGGCAGTTTAAACCGTATACCAACACATTCCTTTGGCACTATTATGTCTCCCACCACCATCACAGGGAACCCACCACCAGTGACAGTCTTGTGTGTGGTTGGTTCATACAGCTGCAACTCCCTGCCTCCCCTCCATCTTAGGAGAAACTAGGACTGCTGCCTCATATGGTGATTAGCAGGCACCTCTCCCCAAGATGAGTTAAAATGGCTGCCAGACCACATTCCAGCCCTGGCTTCACTGTCAGAGAAATGCTCTTATTTTCCCCCAACCCAGCTGCAGATTTTGAAAAGAATCCATATTCAAGTACTTTCAACATTGAGCCATTTGCAAACACCCTATGAAGCCCATCATATAATCCTCCTGTAGATTCTAACAAGATTCACTGACATCCATTCAGACATAGACAACATTTAAGCTGCCTAATTAGGGTTGGAGGGGGACAGTTCTGCCTGAAAAGAGAAGCATTCAGGGTCGAGTAATGTGGGCTCCCTTACGCGAAAAGGCTGATGGCTGGGGAAAAAAGCAATCTCGGCTGCTTGCCTGGCCGTCCATTGGGCACACAGGTCAAGGCAATGAGGAATACCCTATGAACGCAACTCAAGTTAGATTTGTGTCTTGCTGGAATTCATACCCCGTACCAACAGCATCAAGTGCTCCCCAACAAGGCTCTTAATAGCCTATGAAAGAAAGTGGCATGCACGATTAAGACTTCACCCAGATCTGTCCTGCAGTTTAGGGCTTCTAAGTAAATTTGTCAGGGAAGGTTCTGCTTGTCTGATATGTAGCTTGAATATATTAATGGAGTAAATCTATGCCTGGCTGTGATGGGCACAAGCCCCCTTTGGCCTCAATTCTGGGGAATACAAGTGCCTTCCAAATACAGTAGATTCAACTTTCATTGTAGAATTAGAGAACACAGAAAAAGAAACCGGCATTCCAAGGGAAAGGATATCTGGGAAACATGCAGCTACTCAATTATTGGCCACTTGGCCAACTACTAGAGAAAAGGACCCAACTCTGATCCATAAAGGGGTCACCATTTATTCTTTTCAAATGTTACAATAAGACCCATACTACTTTTGTTTAGGAGTTAGAAAACTGCAAATCAGAAGTAGGGTCATTAAAAATTATTTACAAAGACAAGGAAACGAAAATTTAAAGTCACATCATACAGCCAGCCCTCGCCCTCAACCCCCTCCCACCCCCTCCCCAGGGGTTTCCCCCACCCCTAAATAAACCCAAAGTAGTTCTCCCTCTGATGTCAAGTTAAACACAACAGACTTATACGCTTTATGGTTTAAAGCCAAGAGCAAGACATTATAAAAAACTAACCAGATTAGCTTTTTAAACAGTTGTTTCTATAAAAAGCACAAAATATTTGTAAATGAAGTCAGAACCAGGAATGTAAACCAAGAATATCCGTTTTGTTGCTGGTTTGTTGGACTTTTTGGAGAAAAAGAAGAGCTGCTTTTGAAGATAAGTAGAAACAGAAGATCTGAGGAAAAAGAACTTGGTGTTAATAGCTGGAGTCTCAAATGGAGCAAATTCCAGTTTCTGTCCAGGGTCAGTTATCTCTCCATATAGTTTTAAGAGGGGCTTTAGAATTCCTGTTGGAGGGGCCCCCTAGGCCAAGTCAGTTTTTTCTCTTTTCCTTCAGTGTGTGTGGGGAGGACACTGTGGAGAGACAAAGCTCCGGCTCAATGCAGAAGGCCTGTGTGTGTGCCGGGCATGTGTGGCATGTGGTCAAGGCAGCAGTTCCGTGGGGTTGTTGGGATTGGAAGGATGGCACAGACAAGTCTCTTTTGGATGGGCAGGTGATAGGCAGCCAGGCTCTATTCTTCTTTCTGTTCAGCAGCGACAGCAGCCGCAGCGTCAGCCGCAGCACTAGGCTCCACCTCCGCAGATGTTGAGGTCTCATCTGGCTTTACATCCCCCTGACTCTCGCTGGAAGGTGGCGGTGGCTGTTCCCCCTCCTTTGCTGGACCCTCGCTGCCATCTTGCCGCTTGGCCACCGGTTCGTTGTCGGGAGCAGCGGCTGTAGCAGGGGTTTCCTCGGGGGCCGCTGCCGCCTCTTGGGGCGCACTGGCCTCCTCCCCCTCCTCGGTGGCAGCCGTGGCCAACTGGTCCTCAGCCTCCGCTGCTCCGGCCTTCTCCTGCTGCTCCTCGCTGGGAGAGGAAGCAGCCGATGCGTCGCCAGCTTCCTTTTTGGCTTTCCGAAAGGAAATGCCGCTCAGCTTGAAGGATTTTTTGAATGAGAACCGTTTCTTCTTCTTGGGGGTCTGTTTGGAAGCACTGGCGGAAGCAGCTCCATCCGGTTTGGCTTCACCCTCGGCCACTGGGGCTGGCTCTATGGCATCTCCGCTGCCCGCCTCGGCCTTGGCAAGCTCCTTGGGGGCCTCTGCTGAGCTGCTGCCATTCAGGGAGCTCACCTCCCCGTCGGCTTTAGGGGACATGTCCCCATTGACTTTCACATGGCCGTTTTCCTGGAGGAGTAAAGAAAAGGTACAGCAGAGTTACAGCTCGGAAAAAAGGAGTTCAGCACCCATGTATCCCATCCAGCTGCCCACTACCCTTTGCACGAGGTGAAAGCCCCAAAGCCCAAGGGATACACACTGGCAACAGCACACAACCTTGACCACTCTCACACAACTGCAGTAGTGAATTCATGCATTTTCTGGGCTTGCACTTAGCATTCAATCCAACCATTCAAATCACCCGGGGTTTACCAATTATGAGCTTCGGTGGTGCAGTGGTTAAGAGTGCAGTCCTACGGGCTACTCCTACTGCAATTTGGCAGATAGAATCCCACCACGCTCAGTTTTCTCAGCCTTCCGAGGTGGGTAAAATGAGGACCCAGATTGTTGGGGGAAAAGAGGCGGCCTCTGTTAACCACTTAGAGGGCTATAAAGGGGTAGATAAGTCTCTGTGCTATTGCTAATGTATAGAGAGCACCAGAAAAATTCTACCTGCTGAGTGTCTAATGTATTTATTTTTCCACCTGGCTACAAAGAAGGACGTTGTTTTCCTGTCCATCCACATGTGCCACCCTAGACCTCCCAGCATCCAGTGAGCTGATGTGCACTGATCAGACCGGGGGGGGGGGGGGTCACACGCTTGGCCACGGCGGATCCAACGGGCTTCAATGTCCGCGCTGGGTAAAAGGGCGGAGCGCAACACTTTTCGCCCCGAATCCCGCTAGGGCTCGCCTTTCCTGGGAGGCGGCCGAAGCGTTTCTCCCCAAGGAAGCGAGCCTGTCGAGTGCCGCCGCCAGGGGGCGCCCCACTCCCGCCCGCCTTGCAGAGCTCCTGCTCCGGGAGCAGGAGGCGAACGTGCGGGAATCCCCCACGCTGGAGGGGCCCGCCTTTCTCTCCCCCCCCCCGGTGCAAAGCCGCGCCATTGGGCCGCTCGGTCCGGCGGCGCTGGCGTTGGAGGGTGCAAGGCGAGACGAAGCCACCGGGAGGGCCGCGTTAGCAAAACCGCCTCCCGCCCGCGGCTCCCCTTCGACGCCGAAGCGCCCAGTCCAGCCCCGGCTCGGCAAGCTCCCCGAGAGCGCGGGGCTCCTTTGCAAAAGGGAAGCAATCAGGCGGAGGGGGGGGCTCCCCGCCGCCCCCGCCCCTCGCCCGGGAATGCGCGCAATGCAGCGTCGGGACCCAGCGCGCCGGCCGGGCCCTCCTTTGTTCCCCGTCGGGGAGGGAGATGCGCTCCGTCTCCAGGGCTCCGCGTCGAACAAAGGCGCGCCATGCCGCGCTCCCGCTTTGAGCAACGGGCAGAGGCAGCGGAGCGGTCGCAGAGGCAAGGCGCGCCCGGCGGGGCTCAGGCGACCGTCCACGAGAGGCTGCCGCGCCCAACTCGGCTTCGGGCGGGCGGGCGGGCGGGGCGGCCCCGGAGGCAGCCCGAGGAACAATGGCCGTTGGCCGGCTGCGCGCCCCGGACCCACCTGGCCGTTGGACTTGGAGGGCGAGGCGTCGCCGGTGGCGTCCTGGGCCATCACGTCCCCCTTGGCGGCCTTGGAGCTGTGGCTGCCCATGGCGGCGCGGCTGCTTGGCGAGACGGGCACCGCGGTGGAGGCGGCAGAGAGGCGCAGGCGGCGATCCGGGCAGGACGGGAAGGAGCCCCGGCCGCCTCAAGGGACCCTAACGCGGTGAAGCCGCCCCCGGAGGCTCCGCGCCCTGGGCGTCGTCGCTGGCTCGCTCGGCTCCCGGGCTCAGCCGTTGCAGGCGTCGCGCAAAACCTCGCGCGCGCTTCCCTTGCACTGAGCCCGGTGCGCAAAAGCGGCGGCTAATAAGGCTGCCGCACGCGCGGGGGCGGAGCCGGGCGGCACAGTCCCGCCCGGGGGAGGCGCCCAGGGCCGGGCGGGGGGCGCTGCAGGGCGTGGCCGGCCCGAGCCACGGAGACCCTCGCCTGCCGTCTCCGGAAGGAGGCGAGGGCTTGCGCCGGTGCGCTTGAACATGTGCAGAGTGCGCGGCTCTGCCTCCCGTCGTGGCGCAGCTCTTGGCAAAGCAACTTCGGTGTCCCCGATACAAAGGCAGTCCCCGACCGCGCGGGCGCTTCCCTCGGCTGATTTGGGGGGAGCGCCCCTCCCTCTTAGGATTCCCTTCCCCCTTCGTTGGGGATGTGGGCGCATCCTCTCTGGGCACCTGCTGGGCCCCCTCCCTGTGGACGCTACCGTAAAGATGCTGATCAGGTTGGCTTAACCTGGTTTAGCGAATGAAACACGATCCGCTTGGATTGACACAACAGGTTGACGTGTAAATGATTGACAAGCCCACAGTGTTTGACTTTGCATGTAGTAGCATCCCGAATTGCATACGTGCAAATTACAGGGTGGCTCAGCGTGATGATTGCATCTTCCTTCCTTAAGGGCCAAAATTGTCGTCTTCAATGTGGGTTTTGCTTCTTTTGCTTCCTAGCTTAAATTGGAAAGTTCTGCATTCGGTTAAGGAAGTAAGCGTTGAGCTGCTTATTAGGACTTTATTTTTAGAATTGCACAAAATGCCAATTTGGTAGCACAGAAGGTGGGATATAAATTTGTACTGGCTGATTGTAATTAGTATACTTCCATTGAGTGTGCACGATGTACAGCTTTTTGGATCAGATCCGTCTCTTGGAAGAGCTGCTGAGGTTCATCCCTTTCGAAATAAGAGGACGAGATTAGATCTTTCATGGATATTTGCCACCACAATAATAATGGACTGAACAAGCTGGAAGAAGTTAAGTTTAGGGT